CCCTCCCCCCACCCCCACGGGCATTACTGAAGGGCAGGGAAGTTCTGCCCTATGACCACCTCCTCTCCCCCATTGCCTCACAGGGCCCTGGGCTCCTCTGGCCCTGCTTCTTGCAGCCCCTCACCCTCCATGTGAACCCCACACCCTCTGCCGCCCTGGTCTCAGACAGACAGGACAGACGTCTGCTCAGCTGGGGGCACTAGGAGATGGGCAAAGCCCAGGGAGACAGTTGTTCGCTCAGGTTCGGGGTTCCTGGGGGCCCAGGTGCCTACAGGTTCCACATCCTTCATGTGACCTGAGCCTGGATTGACTCTGTCATCCTCCCAACATTCAGATGAGAAAAGTGAGGCACCAAGAGATGAAGAGGCTTGCCAGGGCTCGTGTGGCTCCTGAGCACCTGAACTTCCTGTTTGAGCCCAGATCTGCCTGACCTATGGACTGAGCCTTTCTCAGGCCAGGGGACGGGCATTCCCCACCCCCAACCTTGTGTGGTAGAATTGCTGCCTGGGCGCGGAGGGCCTGCTAAGCTGAACCAAACCCCATCCCTGTCCCCATACAGCTGAGTCCAGCTGAAATACCAGATTCTCCTTATCTGGCCAGGAACCGCAGCCCTCAGCCAAACACCAAGCCTTGTCTCTTTCCTTAGCCTCTCTCCCCGCTGTAAGCCCACCGTGGGCAGGGGTAGCTCATGGGTCCCTTTGCAGGGCAGAGTGATGGTGGCTTGTTCAGTCGCTAAGTCGTGTCTGACTCCTCTGCGACCCCATGGACTGCAGCCCACCAGGCTCCTCTCTCCATGGGATTTCCCAGGCAGGAACACTGGAGTGGGCTGCCATTGCCTTCTCAGTGGGTCAGTTCCCTGCTGCCTTGCCAATAGGATCACCCTCACCTGCAGACGGTGCAACCCAATGGTCAGGATATAGCTCCCACTCCTTTTATTTTTAAAATTACTTTTTTACTTTGACTGTGCTGGGTCTTCGTGGCAGTGCACAGGCTTTCTGTCATGGTGGCTGGTGGACTTAGCTGCCCCAGGGCACGTGGGATCTTAGTTTCCTGACTGGGGACTGAACCCACGTCTCCTGTGTTAGAAGGCAGGATCTTAACCACTGGACCACCAGGGAAGTCCCTCCCGCTCCTCTGAGCAATAGCAGAATGTTGAGGGAACTACTTAAGCTCTTGTTCTTCGTTGTCCTTATCTGTAAAATGGGGGTAATCGTGAGCATGCCCCTCACTGGATTTGTAGTGAGCAAATCAGTGAACATGTCAGTGGGACTAGTTCAGAGTCAGGGCTGGCCATGCACCAGCTATGCAGAACTGTCACCCGGCAGGTCCGAGCACCTTCACGAGATCTTCCTGGGTCCTCCTCGACAGACAGCGCAGCTCCTGTCCCCATTGCCGATAACCAGCTCCAGGTCAGGCACAGCAGGTCCATTTATACTTTCGGCTCCTGCCATGAAGGGACAGCAAAGTTTGCGGGTCTCAGAGCCATCTTGGGGGCTTCCCTGATAGCTCAGTTGGTAAAGAATCTGCCTGCAATGCAGGAGGTTCCAGTAGTCATGTATGGATGTGAGAGTTGGACTGTAAAGAAAGCTGAGAGCCAAAGAATTGATGCTTTTGAACTGTGGTGTTGGAGAAGACCCGAGAGTCTCTTGGACTGCAAGGAGATCCAACCAGTCCATCCTAAGAGAAATTGATCCTTAATATTCATTGGAAGGACTGATTGCTGAAGCTGAAACTCCAATACTTTGGCTACCTGATGCAAAGAACTGACTCATTTGAAAAGACTCTGATGCTGGGAAAGATTGAGGGTGAGAGGAGAAGGGGATGACAGAGGATGAGATGGTTGGATGGCATCACCGACTCAATGAACATGAGTTTGAGTAAACTCCAGGAGTTGGTGATGGACGGGGAGGCCTGGCATGCTGCAGTCCATGGGGTCGCAAAGAGTAGGACATGACTGAGCGACTGAACTGACTGAACTGAGCCATCTTGAATTCTAGATTCTGGCCAGTTGCAGTCTTCCTAGTGGTTAAGCTAAGGAAACCTTGAGAAATTAAAGCTATATAGCTGAAAATTTTCCCTTTATTGCTTTGACCACCAGGAAGCTCAGAGGTAAAATTTTATAGGGTTCCACTAAGCAACTAGAGTTCAAGGTTGGCAACTGCTTTCACTCTGCATTCCAGCTAGACTGATCACCTGTGCTGAGCTGAGAAGGATTCAGAGGCTGCAATGAGGGATATCAGCTGGGAGCATAGCCTGAGTACATCTGGGATAAGAAAATGAGATGGGTGATCAATTAGTGATGTCTGCTGTGCGTGCAGCCACGGCGAACACACTCTGTGCACACCATGCATTTGCCATCACCAGGCTGGACAACTCAAACTTGTGTTTATTTCGTTCAAGTCTATGCTTCTTCACTGTAGTGGCTGTTGTTCAGTCACTCATTCATGCCTGACTCTGCGACCCCATGGACTGCAGCACGCCAGGCTTCCCTGTCCTTCAGTATATCCTAGAATTTGCTCAAACTCACATCCATTGAGTCGATGATGCCATCCAACCACGCCATCCTCTGTCTCTCCCTTCTCCTCCTCCTCTCAGTCTTTCCCAGCATCAGGGTCTTTTCTAATGAGTTGGCTCTTCGCATCAGTCGGCCAAAGCATTGGAGCTTCTTCATAAATTTATTATTTTCTCTATTGTTTTATATTTTATTATATGTACTTCCATTGTGTAATGAGGCGAATTATAAAAAAACAAAATAAAATCAGCTGGAATGGCTTCACTGGGAGCCCTCAGCCCCCTGAACTGGGTAAGAGCTCCAGGGGAATCCCTGATTATGGTAAACCGCACCTTGGAGTTTAAGGCTTCTTCAGCCCAGGGCTGTGTCTGATACCTCCCACGGGCCCCAGCTCAGATTTGCCTAGGGTTTTAGCCACAGAAAGCCTGTGGCAAGAATTTAATTAGGTTCAGATGAAGTGTTAGGCTGCTCCTAAGGTGTGCCCCCCACTTCCTGGATAGACAAGCACTGTCTGCCCCAGGCCCACCCTCCAGCCTGTCTCTTTTTGGGGAGGGAACATCTCTAAACTACCTCTTATCAGGGCTTGAGAAATGAAAGCGACTTGATTCAGGAATCACCTTGGAGGGCTGTCCAAGATGCTGGTTCATTCTCCCCGACCCAGATCTGCTGCCTCTGATCTGCTGAGCCCTGGAATCTGCAGTTTCACCAGCTGCAACCCAGGGAGAGACCCACCGGCCTGGGAACTACCCCGGGTTCCACCAGGCTCCTGGGATGGGGCAGCAGCACCACCTGGTGGCTCCTGCTGAAACACCCTACCCACCGCTCTTCCGGCCCCCCTTTAGGGAGGAGAGTCCCCCCACCCACCCACGCCCTCCTCTGCCTCCAGGGCCTCAGAGGAGTCAGAGGGGAGGAGATGGTGGAGCGAGTGACCTAGATGGGCCTTTCCCCCAGCCTTCCAGACCCACCACACCCTCACCCCAGGGGACCCCCGGGGACACCCCCCCCCCACCCCGCGCTCATATTCCTAAAGCAGCCGCCAAGGCAGAGCGTGTGCACAGCCCCCTGAGCTTCCTGACGCTGGCAGGGCTGTGTGCTGGGGCTCAACTTCCTCACTTGAGTAAGTACAAGTAAGAGCTTCCTTTAAAGATGCTTCTTGAATCTTTCAAAACCTCCTGAATTCTGCACGTCTAAACCTGAATTCTGTACGTCTTACTCCCTCACGTTTCTTCAATATGAAAATGTTTCCTTCTTTTGTAAACACACAAACAAAAAAAGATGCTCTAGAAAGAGGCAGAGTTTACTCTGTGGCTTCACTGACCCACCTCCGCAGTCAGCCCACTTTGGGTCACTTTCTGGGGGCACCTGTACCCTAGGGGTACCATCTACACCTGTTTGAACACGCAAATCGAACCCCAGGCAGGCCGGCAGCCAGGCAAACGGGTCAGAGCCAGGCATCACACTTCTCGTGTGCCAGCTTGAACAGGGGGCCAGACGTGCCCCTAAAGAACCCCCTGTCCTGGGGACAGCAGGGAGGCGCTCACCACTCTTTCCCGCAGGCCCGGCCACCACGTCCACATCAGCTCGCCCCTATGGTCCTCCGCCCCTGCCCTCAGAAGCAGCATCTCCACCACGGCAGGCTGGATTCTTACAAATCCTCTTTAATAATCGGTCGTGTGTGTTTTACAGAACTGTGCCCTGGGCCCCTCCCCACTCCGCTTCAAGGCATAACCTTACCCACCCATTCCCTGGGGGACAGAGGACAGGAGAAAGCAGCCTCGCTTCCCTAGGCCGCTCAGGGTCCTGGTGAATGCAGGGCCAGCTCTGTGCCACACTGGGAGGGCTCACCCCCTGCTTCCCTAAGCAGCCCAGGGCCAGTCCAGACCTTCATGCCCAGGCTGCCCCCTTTCAGCCCAGCTCATGCAGGCCCTGCCCTCACAGCATGGCTCAGGCTGGCCTGAGCTGCTTGGGTGGGGCTGGGTCAGGCTGGAGAAGGGGTGCCGCTCTTATGTCAGGTCAAGCCCACCTTCTCCCACTACCTCGAGGAAAATGGAAAAACCAAGGACAGAAGCATCAGAATGGAAGCAAAGCTGACCCACGCAGTGGGCAGTGACAACCCAGGGTGCCTTATCCAACCCCCCCCCCCCAGTTTTTAACACACTTTCTCCCATACAATATATACAGCCCCCAAGGCAGGTAGAAACCCAGCCCACCTGTGCAGGGAGCATTTCCTTTGGGTTGCTAAGACAACCCTGGCAGACAGCAAGTGTGGAGGAGCCACAGAATAGCTGGAGCTTAAGGCTGACGGCAAAAAAGCAAAGGAGAGGGGGTCCAGGCTCCAGGAAGCCCCCCCAACTTCCAGCCAGCACGGGACGGACAAGGAGTCTTGGCAGTGAGGTGGGAGGTGGGCCTGGAGCCGGGGAGCCTAGGAGAGACCCCTAGGAGCCCTGAGGTTGGGGGGACAGGCAGGGAGGTGGGGACAGCAGCCGCCTCAGTACTTGGGGACCTTGCTGTAGTCTTCAGAATGGACACGCCGGCATAGGAACATGGATAGGAACATCCCCAGGAGCTGGGAAGGAGAGGGAAGCAGTCAGAGGCAGGACCCCGGAGGAGCATCCCGCAGTCAGGGTCAGCACACAGGGCCTGACCTGCACAAAGCTGATCCTCAGTTAGAGCCTCAGGACCAACCCGTGACTCAGGTGGCAGAGGGCCCTGCGAGGGGCAGGGGTCAGGCCAGGCTTACCACGGGGCCTATAGAAGCCAATGGGCCTCAGCCCACCCCTCCCTCCACCCCGGATGTCTGCAGAGCAGGGCCAGTCTTGGGAGGGGGCAGCCTGGGGGCAGGTGTTGGAAGGGAGGGGACCCAGACCTCGATGACAGCGACGCCCACACACACGCCGAGGATGATGCCCAGGTTCTCCTGCAGCCAGCCCTGCACCTTCTCCATGCATCCCTATGAGCAGAGAACACAGCCACGTCACCCCACGATGGGCCGCATCACCCCGACATGCAGGATCACCGGGGTCAGGGGCCACCCTCAGCCCGGAGGTCCGGTGGAGCGGGGTCTGGGTGGTCCTTGAATGGACCCACTGATGAACACAAAGATGAAGGTGCAAATGACAAGCAGAGGAGTCAAAGGAAGGCAGGAACAGCTCTGCGAAGAAAGGTCGATGTAGCAATGGCCCAGGTGAGGCCGGGGGCCGGAGGGTCTAAACCCACCGTGCCCCGAGCCCCACCCCCAACAACCACCCACGCACCTCCTGGTACACCGGCCAGTCAAAGGGGTTGTTGCCGCTCTGGGTCCTGTTGCCAAAGGGCGCCTCGCAGAAGCCCTTCTGCGGCAACACGAGGGCGTCCTCCTCATCACTCTTCTTGCAGGAACAGGGGAAGGTGATGTTGGTGCGATTCATGAGCTCGGGGTTTTCTGTCCAGTTGAAGAAGCTGACCCAGCCGCAGCACTTCACCTGGGCGGGGGACGGGACAGGGTGCTCAAGCCCACCGCCCACTCATCTGGGGGCTTCCTGGACAGGAGCTCAGGTCTGTCTCCCGACTCCCCCCCCCCCCCGGGCCCCCCAACCCCCAGCCTCAGCCAAACTCCCAGGATTAAGAGTTTAGGTTTCACTTTGGCCTTTGTGAGCCACGAGGAGTTGAAAGGGGCTCTCAGGATATACCATAAACTATGAAAACAGCAGGAAACAAAATCAGAAGCAGCAAAAATATAAAAAAACAGAAGGGACGGTCAAGTTGAAAGGACATGGGTGTGCAGGACATGAGGAGGGCAGATGGCATACAACTGGGGGTGTGGGGGCTGGGGTCAGGTTACTGGGATCCAATTCAGTTCTGCCAGCTTCTAGCTACTCAGCTCTGGTCAAAGTGCTAACCTCAACTTCCTCATCCGGAAAATGGGGGGAACTAACTAACTCCCTAACTCAATCTGTTACAAGGATGAAATGGGACCAGACAGGCGAGGCCTCCAGCCCAGGTCAGGAGGGCACAGCAGTTGCCCAGGAGAGGCTGGTTCCACCTGTAGGCTCTGAGCACATGCTGGAGCTGAGGTTTGGTGCTGAGGTTTGGCTCTGAGCTTCGCGGTTGCCAGAGTGAAAAGGGAGATGCACATCTGCCTTTTTAGAGGAGAAAATGCTCAAGATGACCCTGAGGCAAAGAAAGCTCGTGAAGGGGACCCTGAGAAGCTTCAGATCACAGGCGGGCTTGAATTCCCGACTTGCCGACGGGACCAGGATCTCAGGGCCGAGGGCTGTGTCCAGAAAATGCCCCTAAAGGCAGAGCGGAGTCGGGGGTGGATCCTGTCAAATGTGGGCCCTGCCCTGCGCACCGGCAAGTCACTGCACTTCTCTGCGCCCCAGTTTCCTCATCTGGAGAATGGGGTGATGACAGCCACTCCGCAGGGGCTGAAGGGCTGGTACAGGTGAGCTGCGTGCCACCGTGCCCAGCACGTGGGCACTTCCCCGCCGGCCTCCTTCCCGTCCGAAGTGACGAGTTCCTGCACGACAGCCCGCTGGCCAGCAGGCGGCGTGCCAGGCACACTCAGGCGTTGCCCCGCTCCGGTCAGTTTCTCATTGAGAATTTATCTTCTACCTTGCTCCTTTCTTGCTGGCTGCCTCCTCTCCAGCAAGAAAGGCTGGCACCTCTGAGGGGGCACCCACAGCCCCTTGCACACCCAAGCAAAGTGAGGCAGCTTCTCTCGGTCGCTCTGCACCAGGCAGAACCCTGCTCACCAGGGCCCCCTGCAGGACACCCACTGTGCCTCAGTTCCCCGGGGCGTCCTAACTAAACATCCCCACTCACAGGCCACGTGGTAAGCGCCTCGGCCTTTATAAACTCATCGCGCGTGAGCGTGGATCAGTAGTCCCATTTTAGAGATGAGGAGACTGGGTCAGGGAAGGCCTGGCCAGGAAGTAGCTGAGTTTTGTATTTCAGCCCCTGGGAGCCCGACTCGCCTTCTGTTTTTTACCGCCATCCCAAGCAGCCTCTGATAGACATCAAGTCACCCGGAGGTCCTGCCTGCTGCAGGAATTCCCCCAGTCAGCCCACCTCCTCCCCTGACACTTGTTTATCCTGGGACCCCCTCGCTCCCTCTGATCTCAGCAAAGCCTCTCAGCAATTGTGGATCAAACCAAAGGTGGGATGATAATGTCTTCCCGTGCGCCTGGAGCCTTTCAGGTGACACAGCCCCCCGCCCCCCCCCCCACCCGTGTCTCCAAAACTCGGTGACGCGTGTAGGCCAGGGAGTGTCTCCCTCCCCTCTTCACTGCTCGGAGAACAGACATGCCCACGTGGCCAGGGCAGAGACCCACCCCTAGTCTCCGGGGTCTCCTGGTGTCAGGCTTTCCTGTGCTGTCCCTTCCCTGCCCCTCACACCCACAGGTCTCCCCGAAGGCAGCAGTCGGCAGGGCCAGCAGGGCCTCTTGTGACAGAGGGGGAGGCTACCACCCAGGGAGGGCAGGTCCCGGCCGAGCGCGACAACATCCGGGACCACCAGGGGGGCATCTGGGACTTTATCACCGAGGGTGTTTGCAGTGTGTGGTGGCTGGTTCGACATCAAGGCAGGAACATACATCATGGCAGGCTGGGAACCCAGTCAGTCAGTCAGTCAGTCAGCCCGTCTCTCTCTTCCACTTTAACTGAGGTGAAATACTCCAAAGTGTATTGGACTTTCCTGGTGGCTCAGACGGTAAAGTGTCTGCCTGCAATGCGGGAGACCTGGTTCGATCCCTGGGTCGGGAAGATCCCCTGGAGAAGGGAATGACCACTCACTCCAGTGTTCTTGCCTGGAGAATCCCATGGACAGAGGAGCCTGGTGGGCTACAGTCCATGGTGTCGTGAAGAGTCGGAGACGACTGAGCAAGTTCACTTCACACTGAAGTGAACAAATGCATCTTGATGAACTTTTCTACCCATGTTGACATAAACGCCACCTGGATCAAAATTTGAATAGGACGTTCCTTTCGCCCCGGAAGGTTCCCACGCCAGCTCAGCAGAGGCGGATCTCACCCTGTGCGGCCTCTCAGCTTGGACACGTGGTTTCGTAACCTCCAGGGGGAGCGCCCAGCCTGGCTTGAGCGGAGCAGTTGGAGGACTGCCCCACCTCTCTGGCCGAGGGTGGGGAGAGTGCTGTGAATCCCAGGTCAGCTTCCGGGCCTTGGGCCCCCGGGCCCAGAGCTGTGGGGGTGACTGGAGGTCGGGCAGGAAGAGGGGCTGCTCAGGAGCCCCTGACCCCAGCAGACACACGCTCACACTCAAGCCTCCAGCTTCTGTCCGTCAGGCACCCCCAGGCCCATGGGCACCCAGAGGCCTGCCCGCGCCCCTCACCTGAGCCTGAACGTAGTCCCAGGCCTCCTGCAGGTTGTCCCCGGAGCCGTCCGTGTAGTTGTGAATGAGCTTGGTCACAATTCCACCCATCTCCTGCTTCAGCTGCAGAGGAGAGAGCACGTACCGTGGTCAGCATGCTGGAAACGCGCGAGCCCATCCCCGGTCACACGTGCTCAAGCTGCCTCTCCGGCACGCCCCTAAACACTGGGGCTACGCTCACTGCTCAAAGCATGTTGTCACCCATTCCAGCCACTTTTCTGGTCCTCCCTGGGCGCCAGCACCCCCCGACCCCAGTGCAGTCAGGGTCAGCCACCCCCCCTGACCGTCTCCTCAGCACTCAACACCACGTGAGCCTGTAGACGAGACTCTGTCCACGTCATTGCTGCAAACTGTCCAGTGGCAGGCGTCTCACCCAGCTCGGGAGAAATGACTTCTCAACAGCCCACAGGCCCTACACTGTTTGACCCTGCTCTTTTTGTTTGTTTTTAATTAATTAACTTTTTTAATTGAAGGATAATTGCTTTACCAGATTGGCCCTGCTGCTTCCAGACCTCGTTATCCCTGCTCTTCCGCCTTCCTTTTCAGTTACGCAGGTCTTTGGGCAAGGTGTGCTCCTGCCTGGGGCCTTTGCACTTGCTGTCCCCTCTGCCTAAAATCTTCTTCCCCCAAATATGAGCGTGGCTCATTCTCCCACTCTCTTTAGAGCTCTCCTCACATGGCTGCTCCTCAGAACGGCCTTCCTGAACCACCCAGGAAAATCTCAGCCCTTCCCTATCCCCTGGCAGGCCCCCCGTATCCTACAAGGGGAGGCACGCTGCAGGTTTTTCCTTGTGGCCTTGTCATAGCATACTCTTCTGCTTCCAGAATCTACGGTCTCTCTCCCCAACTAGAACATCAGCTCCGTGGGGGGACGGGGACTGAGTCTGAGTCAGCCTGGCCAGGGGAAGTTTGTGGGGAGCGTGGAGGATGAACGCACGAGGAACCTCACAACCTGCCCAGCTCCAGAGCCCCCCAAAGTTCACGTCTGCCTAGGCTGGCTCAGAATGTAGGGCCCCTGTGGGGGGAGAGGGAAGCACCTGCTTTTTGCTAACCCCGCAGAGGAAACACTTGTTTATAAAGAAGGTGGGTGTGAGGTGCAGGGATCAAAAGGCTTCGGCCCCCAAGGCCTCTTCCTGGGGTTTGAGCAGAGGATCTCACTATGGCAGCTTTTCAGAAACCAATCCACTGTGCAGTGGCAGGTGAGACCCAAACCAGCCCCACCTGCGGACCTTGCTCAGGGGCTTCCCCGGGCGCCCCGACTGGAACAGGCTGCTCACGGTCACCTCTTGTCCTCACAGAACCTCGGGGCAAGGGGCCTGAGAGGAGCAGGAACACCGAGGGGATGGCCCCATACCTGCCCCTCAGTTCCTGAGAAACTGGAATCGGGGAGATGGGACAGGGGCCTCCAGATGGGGGCTTTCAGAGTGAGCCAGCTCAGAACTCCGTGAGCAGGGGCTTCCTCCAGCTCCCCACGAATGCAGCGCTCAAAGAACCCACATCCTCCAGACTGCCCTGCAGGCCCGGCCCCCTCCGTTCACCAGCCCTGGGAAAACATCCCCCTCCCAGGCAGCCCCACGCCCCGGCCCACCCCAGGATCGCTCTCTGTCCCTCTCTTACCATAAACTGCTTAGTCAAATATCTCTCTGATTTTATTGGCAGAGATCTACAACTTGCAAAGCTAGCCTGTCAGTAACTAATCACAACAGTAGAGGCCAACTTTGATCAAGCTTGTTATTACCAGCACCGTGCTAAGGACTTTTAATGCCTTATTTGACTATCCCTCCAGGCAGATCGATGGCCTAGGTATTATGGAGAGGCAGAAAACAAGGCCCAGAGAGGTTAATTAACTTGCCCAAGGTCTCACAGCCAACATGTGAAGAGCTGGAGTTTGGACCCAGGTCTGACTGATTCCAGAACCCAAGTTTTTACCCACTGAGCTCTATCAGCATTTAAACCACATGGCCATTGCTTGCAATAGGTCAGAGCAGTTTCTTTTTCTATTTTTTTTTAGCACTTAATCTTTAATATGTTTAATTTGGTCAAAATCTATGGAAGTCTACAAAAATCTACAGACCATATGGCTGTGTAACACAACGCACAATGTATTATAACAGTACCACATGGAGAATGTAAAATGTAAAGTTAGACATTAGGTTAACTCATAGACGTGAACATAGTCTTTTCTCCAGTGCTGACAAGGACCACTCACTTTAAAATTCTCTTAAAGAATAATTAAAAGCTGCCTAGGTGTCAGTTTAAGCTATCTCAGTTCTCTTGTTTAGAATGAAACCCCTTGAGGTCACTGCAACGAGCAGTTTTCTACCAGAGCGGCTTGGTGGCTGGCCCACGTCACACAGCGAGGGCTGTCTGCCTGCAGAATCTGAGTCTCTTTGCCCCTACCCTCTGGCCCCACCTCTGCTCCTCAGTAAGCAGATGACCCCTGAGGCGTGGAAAGAAGGGGGTCCCCAGGGGCACTTGCAGAGAGAGCTGTCTCCCCCCACATCCTCCCACCACCCTCCCCCACCGACCTGGGCTCTATTTATACCCAGCATGGTTGCCACAACAGCCCAGACTTCCCTGTTTCAGCCCCCAGAAATGAGAAGGCGATGGAAGCTGGGTGGTTTCCACTGAGGCTGGGTAGTTTCCATGGAAACACCACATCCATCCTCCAGCCCAGAATGGGGCCCAGGGACCCAACTACGCCACAGGGGGGCCACGGTGGCAGGGGCTGATTCAGCTCGGAGTTGAGGCCTTGGGACCCCAATGCCCAGGAGGCAGTTCCTGAGACAGGGAGGAGCAGGGAGAAGCAGCTCGCCATCTCACTTCATCCCTGTAGGGGCCTCTCTGTGGTTTCTGCCTGCCCCATGTCCACTCTCCATTCTTGAAACAGCAACTCCCTTCCTTGGCAGTAAGCACCCCTCAAACCCACCATGCGGCTGGGAAGTCCTGCCCCCTCGCTGCCAGGGGCAAGCAAAAACCCAGGGTGCCACTTGGCGCCTTCTACACCCTAGCACAACAAGTGGCTCAGGGATGGGCCAGTGACCCAAGGTCATGCCCGAGGGCCCTCGCTTTCTGCTAGTTTGGTGGGATGAGGGCCTGAGTGGCCACCCCAAACCCCCCTGGGGACAGCTGACCTGAGGAGGATGCCAACGGAGGTGAGCAGGGCTGAAGATGAAGGCAGACAGTGCCGGGGGCAGCCTTCAGAAGCCTGGATCCAGCTGAGCCTGCAGCCAGGGCAGGCCAGTTTCAGTTGGGTTACTGTTACAGGTGATAAAGAGGCTTGCCCAGGAATGGCTGCATAATTTACAGCCTAGTGTGAAGTGAAAATGCAGGGCTCCTTACTTCAAAATGGCTAGGAATTTCAAGACATCAGCCCAAGCACAGAAACCTTCTAAGCGTGGGATGCTGTGTGGCTGCTCAGTGAACACAGCTAGGAAGCCAGCCCTGGTCTTGTCCAATACCATCCTCCCCACTTCCCCAAAGAGAAAACCAAGGCTCAGACAGTGAGAACAACTTCACAAGATCAGACAGCTGGCAAGCTGTGGATATACAGCCATCACCTGCTACGTGCATCTCCAGAACCCTGAGATCCTATCACAGCAAGCCACCCACCATCTCCAACCCTGCCATCCTCTGGGATAACTCTCCTCCCCCACCCCCACCTCATGCTATGCTTTTATGTCACTTTGTAGTGCGACTTTTCTGAGAGAGGTACAATCAGAAGACATCTTTGAGTCCAGCATATCATCCAAAAGTAAGAATCCTTTTTGTACTTTTCCAGGCTCTGCTTAAATGCTCCCTGTGATGGGGAACTCAGTACCACACAAAATAGCACATTGTGGGGAGGCTCTTGGTTCAGTCAGTGCATTCTAAGTTGAGCCCAAATGACTTCTAGCCATGGGTTTCCATCCTCCCTCTCCCTCCCAAGTCCCAGCTGGGACCACACAGAACAAATCGAATCGTTCTCTCCCAGGAAAAACGTCATTCAGATGTTTGAGACCCCCTCCTCCCCGGGGTAAATCTCCAGGCTCTTTGCAGGCTCTTTGGGATAGTGACCAGCCCTCTCTCCAAGCTCTTATGTGCCAAGCTGCCTCTCACAATGAGGGGTCCCCGTGCGATGAAAGGGACCCACACCTTCTTGCCCCCTCCCCCCTGTACCCACAAAAGGGGTTGCCAAGCGCTTTGAGGCTTCATCCTGGGAACCTGGTGAGAAATGAGGACCCTTTGCCCTGGAAGATGTGGAAGGGGTAGCATTTTCACTCTTAGTGACCACCTAGGTCTTTGCTGAAAGTCTGGCTGCAATCTACATAACCAGTTGCCGAAGAATTCAGCAGGGGGCCACACCATGTACGTCTGTCCCGCCCCCACAGTAGGCTCCCTGAGGGCGGCGCCCGAGTCAGCTGCGGGGGCCAGACACGCGGATGCTCGACAGTCTCTGCCCACTGGTCTCCAGAATCCCCTTCCAGAAGGACAGCCTGGGCGCCTTCTTCCCCTTGCCCGAAAGGGAAGAGAAAGGTCCCCGCCACCTCCCGGTGGCAGGAACCCCAAGCTAATCACTGAGGAGGTTCCCACGGCAGGGGGCGCTGTCTCCGAGCGCGCTGCCCTCCGGAGCTCGTTTAATCACCTGTGTGTTCGCTCCGTGGGCACTGGCTGCCTGGCTACTGGGGGCCTCTTGCATGGGAGAGGGAAGGAGGAGGAAGGGAATAATGGTTTTCCTGGCCAGCCACCCTCTCTGCAGAGCAGACAGCAGTCCAGCTGAGCCCGTCACCACCACCACCCCGCTGCCTCCGCCCCAGCGACCACCCGGACCACGCAAGCCCCTCCCCTCGCGCTCTCAGCCCTCAGGCCTTCTGCTCAAGCTGAAAGGGAAAGCGTTAGTCGCTCAGTCCTGTCTGACTCTTTGTGACCATGTGGACGGTTGCCTGTCAGGCTTCTCTGTCCGCGGACTTCTCCAGGCAGGAATACTGGGGTGGGTTGCCATTCCCTTCCCCAGAGGACCTTCCTGACCTAGACTGAACCCGGGTCACCTGCACCGCAGGCAGATTCTTTACCAACAGAGCCACCCAGGGAAGCCCCCGATACAAACTCCCAGAGCCTCAGCGGCCTCCCACGAGCAGGTCAGTGGGACGGCCTGTGTGAGTGCACCCAGCCCAGCACCCAGCACCTTCTGGGAACCGATTACTAGTTCACCCTCTTCTGCACTGACTCCTGCCTACCCTCCACCACCCACAAAGAACCAGCCAGCATCCCAGGGTGACAGAGCTGAGAATGGCCCAAGAGGTTACCAGGGGCTCAGAGAGGCTGAGTAACATGTCCAAGGCCACATAGCAGGCAGCGGCAGAACCCAGACCTGAGCTTTTCCCACTAAATGGGGGCTGGGTAATGATCAGACAAGGAAACAGCCAGGGGAATCTTTACTCCATACCTAAGTTTTTGTTCCCACAGCCCTTGCTAATGTGAACATTAGTACTGGTGACAATAGGAACAGCTGCCCATTTACTGAGCCCTTACGAGGCATTAGTGAAGTCAGCAATGGTGACAATAATAAGAAACTCTTGCAATGACACCAGCACACATCTGCTCTGGGCCAGGCAGACACTAGGCCCTTCGCATCTGTCAACACTCTCCATCCTTGGTGCCCCGCTTATAAGGTGGCCTTTGGGGCCAGTGCGCTCCGGCCCCGAGAAACGGTCGGATTTTAGGCAGGGCCAAAGGGCTGCGTGTCAATCTCTCCCATTCTGTACTTCCCAGAGGACAGCTAAAGGGGGTAAGCCAAGGCCATCAACAAGCTCATTTCTATCCAGGTTCGATTTTGCCACCAAATGAGTTGCGAGTGGTACATTGGGGTTTCCAAAGTGTTTTTTGGACTTTGGAATTATGGTTAAGGGAGAGTGGACCTGTAGGATTGCTGCCGTTTGACAAAGGAGGAAACTGGGGCACATACAGGCTGAATAACTTGCTGAGGGCCGCAGAGCGGGGCTCTGACATGGGCAGCTTGATTCTGGGGTCCAGGGCCTGGGCCAACACTGTGTTTGCTACAGGCCTTGAAGTCTGGGCTCCCAGCAACCCTGGGGCTGGGGGGAAGCCAACCAGCTCTATTCTCCGTTGATAGACGCAGACCCCAGAGCTTGGAAGCCGGTGCTCTGCCCGAGGCGCCCAGCCTCCCCTGCCGCCGCCCTGGGAACAGTAGCTGCTGGGAGGAAGGACACTGGAGACCACTTCAGGGAGACCCCAGGGGCTCAGTCCCTCCCACCTGCCCAGCAGGCCTGGAGAGAGGGGGAAGACAGGCCTGTCGCCTTCCAAAAAAGCCTTTTTCCTTCAGGCTCACCCAAGTCCCACCTCCCCAGCTGGGCCTCGTCTGCAGGAATAAACACCACCAAGGGCATGTTTAGTCTCCCACTGGGATTTACAATGTGCTAGGAAAGAAAAAATAAATCATTCATTCCAACTCGGGCGATCGGGTGGCGCCAGAACTTCCCCAGCGAAGTCAGGAAATTTCCCCCTGCTTTCCAGAGAAGGAGGTGGGCCAAGCGGAGGAGGGCTGGGGCTGGGGGCTGGGGAGCGTGAAGTGTGGAGTCTGGGGGCTTGGAGGAAGGCAGAGAAGGGGACAGTGGGGTACCATGACACATACAGCCTGGACTAGAGTCAGGAGAGCTGATTCTCCAAACCAGCCCTGCTCTGGGACTGGGCGTCGCCTCTGGGGCATGGCTCCTGGTTGGCAGCCAAGCAGATTATGCCAGCTAGAGGGGAGGCAGCGTGGAAGTAGAGGGAGGCACAGGCCTCGGGTTGGAGTGGGTGGGAATCTCCACCCTGTTGCATTTGAACTGCATGTGACCAGGGCCAAAAGCCACTGCCTTCCTGGGCCTCAGTTTCTTAAACTTGAAAATGCCAGTAAAACTAAAATGAGTGTCAAGCGACTAGCTCAGCCCCTGGGACGTGATTGGTGCTCTGAGGTGGACACTGTCTTTATTACTGTGAGGTGGGACAACACGGGGGTGAAGAGGTGGACTGCCCAGCACCGTTTGACTAGCTTCTGAGTCACAGGAGCTGCTCACTGGGGACCAGTTCTCACCCACTCTCTTGGTACTGTGCCACTGACTGGGGCCCAGAGAAGCCCCAAGTGCCTCACGGGTGGAAATGAAGACCTAATCCTGCAACCCTTGCACTGGGAGAATAGCTTCCCTTCCCTCAACATCGGCTTTCTGTCTGGTAACCAAGCCAACTTCCTTTCATCTACTAAGCTGCTATTTTCCCTTTCACCTTGACTGCCAGGAAGCTCAGTGTTCAAGTTAGCTCTAAGCTCCCATGAGTATCTTGTCCCCCAGCTCGGGAATGACATTTTTCTTCTCTCTTGGTGTGTCTTCTGATCTTTCTCATATTGATTTTAGCTGCTCTATGCCTATGTTAGAAGCTAGCTACAGTGCTCCTGGAAACAGACTGGGTAGATTATAAATAAGCAAAGCTGATTCAGGTAGGAAGCACTATAATGAAAATTTCACCAGCATGAACGAGGAAGCCAGGTTGCCTGGGTTCAAACCCTGGCTCTGCCACTTACTAGCTGCGTGACCTTTGGCCCAGTGACTTAACCTCTCTGTGCCTTGGGTTCTACATCTGAAAATGAGGGTACTCATACCCGTGACCTCAAAGGCTTGCTCTGAGGAACAAATAAATGCAGTATATACAAAGTGTTTAGTACCAGGCTTGTTCTAAATTCTATGAAGTATTACTTGATGGTGTTGCTATAGTGTTTTCTCAACTTCATTCCAAGAAGGATCTGTGGCAACGTGACCTTCAACTGGTAAAATGTGGGAGTCCACACGGCCGCTGGCTCTGCCAGCCCTGTGGGTAGATGGGAATTGTAGACCTGAAGGAAAGGCAGGATCCAGCCTCAGCCAGGCCCAGGGTGAACTCCGACTGGCCTCGTGGAGCCTGGGCCCTCACCTGGAGCATGAGGAGGTGAGGCCCAGGAAAAGAAGGCATGGAGAGTGGCTGGCACTGAGCCCAGAATCTGGCATGTGCTCAGTAGGGATCAGGGATAAGGGGCTATCGTTACTATTACTGATGCTGCCGTTGTTAATCATCTCTCTGAGCATCTGCTTCCCGGCCCATCAACATAAGACTTACAAGAGCTGCTGGGAGGACGAGATGAGATAATGTGCATGAAGCTTCTAGAAAATACCAAGTGCACAGAGTAGGTGCCCCATAATGCTAACTGTGATGGTCACAATCAACTGGCACACCCAGCAGCCAATAGGCAGCCTACCCTTCTCTTGCGTCTCTGTCTTTAGAGTCTGAAAGCTGGATACTCACTTTCTCAGCCTCCCTTGAAGCTAGGAGTGCCTTTAAAACTCAGTCTGGAGGAGACTGGTCTGGGGCTTGCTTTTCGGGTAAAAGGGATGGCTGTGGCTGGCACCGCCCCAGACCTGCTTGCTTGGTCAGGGGCTTGCTTTTCGGATAAAACAGATGGCCGTGGCTGGCACTGCCCCACTCCCTTTCTTCTGGCCACAGCAGCAGATGTTGGGCCTGGTGCTGTGGCAGCCATCTTGTGACCATGAGGTAAGTGGCTTGATAGAGGAAAGATGTCATGATGAGGATGCTGAACAGACAGCCAGAACCAGGGCCTCTTGAGCTTCCAAACCTGACTTCTGGTTAAATCAACAACATATATCCTTAGAGTTTAAGCCCCAGTATGTCTGATTTTCTATTCCTTAACACTGAGGGTCTTCCCTCTGACATGGGAATAACGTTTTCATGGATGTCTCCTCCCTGGGCCTCATCTGCGGACGAGATGCTGAGAATTGAGTTACGTGTTTTGCTAAGATAATCTCACTGAATCACTGCAGCAACCCTGAGAGTTAAATTATTAATGACGCCCATTTACAGAAGGTGAAACAGGAACAGAGAGGCAAGCAGCTTGTCAGTGACCACACAGCTAGGAAGTGGTGGGGTCCAGTCAATATTGGGCCCAGCAGCGACTCCACCCACCTATATTGTCTCCACTCCCCTCTAGCCTTCTGCCATGTGACCATAGGGAACCGGAGGCCCAGGAGGCTGACCTGGCACCTGTGAGTTTCCTTTTTTCTTTCTTTTGGCTGTGACACATGGCTTGGGGGATCCTAGTTCCCCAACCAGGGACTGAACCCACACCCTTGGCCGTGAAAGCATGGAGTCCTAAACACCATACCAGGAATTCCCCACCTTTGGGTTTCTCTGTGACAACCACAAGGCCTCTTGTCTGTCCCCCACCCCCAGGCCACCCCCACCCCCAACCCTACCCACATGGTTAGTCCAGCCCAGGTCAGGGGTGGGGACGGGGTCAGCGGGTGCTCACCTGGCCCATGTTGAAGTAGAAGAAGACCCCTGCAGTCACCTGGGCGATGAGGATCAGCAGGAGGAAGGCAAAATACTGGGGACGCAGAGCAGACACATAGTCAGCAGCAGGGTCCCCACCACGCCCCCCTCACCTCGATGCCCCCACCCAGACTGGGCCAGGGCCCCCCAGGCAGGATGAGGTGGGGGCGCTGGGTGGGCAGTTCTGGGGGGACCGTACTCACCATCCCCAGCAGGCAGCGGACCTCGTTGACAGCACCCAGGCAGCCCAGGAAGCCCATGACCATGGTAAGGGCCCCCACGCTGATGAAGACGTAGGCCGCCACCTTGAACGAGGTGGAGGAGGTCTCTGCCAGGGGAGAAGGACACTGGATTCAGCCTGCCTGTCTCGCCCTTGCTGAGTGCAAGATCGGGGCAGGGCTGCAGCCACACCCCTGCCGTGGGGTCGGGACACTGGGGTCAGCCATCCAGCCAGGCACCTGCTCCCTCCCCTGCTTTGGAGGCGGCCTCCCCTAGATGCACGCCCGCCCCCATCCCTGCTTTACTTTTTGTCCTTAGCCCTTAGGGGACTGAAAAGACTCTAGTTTTACTGACTTCTCTTGCTCATCATCTGCGACTCCGAGGAGCCTGTAAGCTGCACCAGGGCAGGGACCGGTCCCTGCTGAAACCCCGCGCCGGGACAGCGTCCAGCACAGCAAAGTGCCGTAGAAGTCACTGCTGAATTAACAAAACAGACTGGCAGGTTCTGCTGGGGCTACAGGCACTGACCACCTTCCTCCGTGTCCATAAACAACAAACGCGGCCCCTCCTGTCCACTCGCTATGCTGCAGGGCTTCACACCTCTGCCAGAACTCTGCCCAGCAGGCACCAGCATGCCCATCTCATGGATGAGGACACTGAAGCTCAGAAAGGCACATCAGCAAGGGCCAGAGCTGGGATTTGCAAACAGGCAGACCCAATGCTTCGGCCACCTGATGTGAAGAACAGACTCACTGGAAAAGACTCTGACGCTGGGAAAGACTGAAGGTGAGAGAAGAGGGCGACAGAGGATGAGATGGTCGGATGGCATCACTGACCCAATCGACATGAGTTTGAGCAACCTCCAGGAGAGAGTGAAGGAGAGGGAAGCCTGGTGTGCTGCAGTCCATGGGGTCGCAAAGAGGCGGACACGACTTAGCGACTGAGCAACAGACTCCCAACACCAGGCTCTTTCCACTTTTGCGCGGGGCGTGCGTACTGATGCAGGTGTGTCCCTCCTTTGTTTGTTCAGCCCACAGAGATTTGCCAGGAATCACTGCATGCCAGGCGCTATGCCAACTGCTCGGTATGCTGCAGTCAGTCAACCTGCTGAGGTCCCCACCCCACAAAGGGGACGTGTGGTGGGGTGGGGGATGTGAAAGGCCATGAAGACACTGAGGCTGGCTAAGGTCGAGTGAGCAGGGCAGGCGCCTGATGCGGGCGGAAGCTCGGTGCATGGGAAGATGGAAAAGAAGGTAAGAGAGAGAGGAGTCTGACGGGGATATGCAGGTGGCGGGGGTGGGGGTGGTGCCTAATGGCAATGATGGAGCCCCCCCCAGCAGGATGGAGGTCAGAAATCTTGACCAGCATTCCCCAATAATCCCAGCAGATCACGCAGGGAAGAGCTCACGTCCTCCTCCAGCCCCCAGTGTGGGTGTGGGGAGTCCTCTCCAAAACCCGAGGCTGTGACGTGCCAGGAGGGCCCGGGGGGACGCGCCTCCCCTGGGCAGGCGGCTGCGGGCACTCTCCTCTGACAGCCCCGGGCGCTGCAGGGAAGCTGGTGAAGCACCCTCAGGGTGGGGGTGCTTCCAGAGGTTCCTGGGTCCACTGCAGCCAGGCGGACTTTGCCGGAGATGACCCGGAGTCTGCCTGTTGGTTGTGCCTTCCCAATGACTTGGGCACGGCCAGAGCTGCCAGCGGGCTGACCGACCATGACTCCCGGGGCAGGGGGTCCCTCAGAGGGGCTGAGATCCCCACCTCGGCCACAGAGGGGGCCTGTGGGCCCTTAAGGAACGACCACAAAGCTGGCGCGTGGGTGGGTAGGAGGGGGTGATCCAGCCCCACTTCCTGGGCACAGACAGAAGGTTCTGGAGCTGAGGAAACGCCCTGGCCAGCCCACCTCACACAGGCATCAGGACAGGGCGACCACCCCGCCCAGCTCCTTAAGGAGACCCGGAGAAGCTGATCAGAGGCGCCGGGGGGTGAGTGAGGAGACTCCCTCTTACTCCAGGCCCTCACCGCCCGGGCTCTCAGCCACCAGCAAGAGCAGGGGAAGGCGGTCAAACTTTGCTTTTTCTTAAACTTCCTGGGTTTGGGTTTCAGCAAGCCCTCCCAGTGAGTCCTCCTCCCCCCACCCACGGAATCCACGGTGTGCCAGCCCCGAGGAAGGCCCTCTATCCAAACCATGCCGCTGAGTTTCTGCCCAGGGAGGGTGGCTCCACGCCCTGATCTGTCTGTCAGAGCCCGGAGCAGCTAGGAGGCTCAGATGGGCCCCAGGGGCAGGGCTGGGGGCTGAGCCCGCCGCCACTGCCAGCACTCGGGGCCTTCTCCGGGGAGGCCAGCCAGGCGCGGGGTCTCTGTTTCCCGGAGCCTTTTGCCAGTGCCAGTCCCTGTCCTCCTCCAGGGCCTCAGGCTGGTCCTGATCTGAGCGCCCTGACCTAGGCAGGGGGCACGTGGACAGCCCAGGTCCTGTGCTCCAAGACCTGCATCCTCTTGGTCTTGTCGGGTCTCAGAGGTACCAGCGAAGTGGGCAGGGAGTAGCCCAAACCTCCCAAAGTGACCAAGGACCACGCAAAGTTGGTTGCTACTTAACCCCGACTTTGCTGCTAATAGGCTCTGAGCCCTGTGGGGTGTGGGCAGGCCATTTTCTGGGCTTCTGGTTTCTGTTTTTTTTCTTTTTTCCCTCTGTGAAATAAAACTAGTAATTCCGGCTTCTTAAAGATGTTCTAAGGACCAGATGGTATTATAAACTGATTTAACAATCATTTACGTAGTGTTTACGATCTACTAGAAACCCTTCTCAACACGTTCAGACATTAACCTGCCTAATTTCTCAGGATGGACTTTATGACGCGGTCTATCATTATCTTCATATTACAGATGAGGAGGTACAGAGGGTGGAGTTAATTGCCGAGGGTCGCACAACCGGTAGATAGCAGAGCCGGGCCTGGAACCCTGGCATCGGGCTGGGGGCTCTGCGTCCTGACCCGCCGTGCTGGCTTCTGCTCCTGAAGGCAGGGCGTGCCGCAGGGCCCGGGGGGCGGGGGCTCGGGCGTGGGGGCTCAGGAGCCATGCCCCTGGTTCCCACCCGTCCCCTGCCTCAGCTGTGCCTGTGGACAAGTTACTACCTTTCCCCTCAATTTCCTTCGTTGTAAAATGGGGCTAGTAACGCTCAGCCCCAGGGACTCCCAGTGAGGATTCGATGCGGCAAGGGGAGAGCTGTGTCACGCAGGCCTGGCACACAGTGGCCCCGGCTCCCAGTTCTGACTCTCACTTGCTGCGATACTCTTAGCAAGTCTTTTTCTGTCCTTTCTCTGAGCCTCAGTTACTCAAGGGTATGGTGACTGGGCTAACAAATTAGTGTTTCTGAACCCTGGCTGCCCGGGGAACCCCCCAGGAAGATTTTTAAAAGCCTGGGTGCTCTGGGGCTCCACCCACACACCTGGAGTCAGATCCCTTGAGGGTGGGGTCAGGCCTTGGTATCTGTAAAATCACTCGGGTGTATCCAGGGGGCCTCCAAAGCCTGGCCAGTTTGAGATTCTCAGCCCTGAACAGGGAGGACCCTGGGAGTACCGGGCGGGGTGGGGTACAGAGGGCAGAAACGTGGTGGGTGGGCTGGGCCGAGACTTTGCCCCGAGGCGCAGTGCCCGCTGTGTGTGCACCATGGCCCAGGAAGTGGGGAGCCTGGGCCAAGCAAGTGGGCCAGGGAGAACATGTCCCATCCTCCTTGCAGGGAGGGCGTGGGGAGTGTGGGTAGCCAGCTGCAATAGGAAACCCAAACCTTAGCCCCCCGATGGGGAGCAGTCCACACTACCCCCTCTCAGCAGAAGTCAGGACTGACAGTCCCAGACAGCAGTGGGTATGGTGGAGGGGGGATCACCCTTACTTCCCTTCCCTTCACGTCTGAGGGGAGGCTCAGCCCCCAGGGCCCCCTCCATCACCCATCCTAGCCTGGTTCCGTTTCATTCAAATCAAGCAGCTGTCACGGGCCTGAGTCCAAACCTGCTGCCCCGGGCAGCTGCTGGGAGGGGAAGTGAGCCAAGGACCCACTCGCTGACGGGCGTGGCTTCGCTGGACTCTGCTCTCTGCCTCCATCCCACCTCAGGACGTCCACTGGAGGCTAGCTCAGCAAGCCTGGCAGGCTTCCTGGAGGAGGCAGCGAGAAGACCAGAGAAGGCCTCCTATTGTCCTGGCAGGGGAGCCTTGGGCTTCTTCCCCTCCAGCTTCAAGAGGGAGACAAGGGGCTTCCCCTACCATATGGACTAAAGCTCTGGGGGGTTCGAGTCCCACACCCGTCACTCTGAGGCTGGGTGAACTTCAGCCGGGGATGTTACCTCTCTGAGCCTCACTTCTTCATTTGAAAGGCAGGAAGTTCCTACTGCCTGAGGCTGCTGTGAGGTTAAGGCAGTTTATCTATGCCAAATGCTTGGCTCCATGCCTTGCACACTGTGACCACAAACGGTAGATGCTGGCCTGGTGCCTCCTCATCACTGCATTTGCCTGGCCCACCTGGCCAGGGCCAGGCACATAGTAGGTGCTTCGTGCATACCTGACGATCTACCACTCCTGGCTTTTCTTCTGAACTGGGAAGGGGAGGCACTACTGCCCATGTGTTGCTGAGCAGGCAAGTGGAGGCACGGAGGAGATAAGAGGCTTTCTCAAGTTCAGGGCAGAGGGAAGGGGCCAGGATGGAGAACAAGTCTCTCTCATCCCCCAGCATTCTCCAGACAACAGCAGCTTTGTTTAGAGAAGGAGAGAAAATTCCTTCTGAAAACCCCTGCGGAGAGGCCCGGGGGCAGAGTGGTCAGCAGCGGGACCTGGGCAAGGCAGGCCCCAGGGGCAGCTGAAAAAGGCAGGGACGGGCTTTGAGGGTCAAATATTTGTGGGAGCAGCCCTGACTGCTGCCCTGCCCCTCTTTCAGAGGCAGCTGGGCCAGCGGGGTGTAGAGGGATCCTTACGTAAGATGGAGATGAAACTGTTCTTGTCGACCAGGATCCATATCCCGAAGCCCAGGATCACTGCACCCAGGACCTGGAAGAAGAAAGCGGCAGTTAACGGGGTCCCCTCCCAGCTGCCTCTGGGTGGGGTGGGCCACATCCATCTTTGCTCAGCCCAGGATGTCAGGGTGGCCTCAGGCCCCGAACCCCAACTGCAACCAACTCCAGCAATCCAGAGGGCAGGCCATGAGTGGGGAGTCCCTCCTCACTGGGTGCGGTCAAACCGAGGGTGCTGGCTCTGGGGGTGCCGTCTCCTGCCAGGGGACCCTCCTACTCATCTCCTGGCCCTTCCCCAGCTGGGGGGCTGGGAGCTTCCCAAACAAGCCAGGCTCCGGGGCATTTGGAGCCCTCCGCAGACTTGATCATTGAAGCCCAACCTGTCCTCAGATCTCTCGGCTCCAAGACCAGTTTTCACGGAAGACTTCCTGACCCCCAGCCAACTAAGGGGCCTGAGCTGTGGGGCAACCACCACAGGCCCCTTCTTAAACCCGCTAAACCCACTAGGTGTAACTCTGCCGCATTCTCTCTGGCTGGACTATGAGCTCCCTGAGGGGTGGGCTGGGTTGCATGCAGCCTGTGGACCTGGGCACCTATTGAACCAGGTGCAAAGGACTCAGCGGGAGACTGAGTTCATGAATCAGACTGTGTACATACAAGATTAGAAAAGGAAAGGAATGGGGGGTGTGGTGGGGGGGCGGCCCTGTAGGTCCAGACCCAGGGATTTCCTGCCTCCCTTCCCTGCACCAGCGGGCAGACCCACAACCTGAGCCTATCTTCCCAGGTGGAACCCCCACCAAGATCCACCCTCCCATCAAGCCAGCTAAGTGTGGACAAGGGCCCACAGTCAGGGCCAAAGCACAGACTCCCTTAAGGGGATGGAGGTGGGGAGGCCTGCATCACCCTGTAAGCCCGGTCTTCCCCTGCGGTCTGGCCTGGGTCCGCCTTGGGGATAACCCACCTTCAGGGTGCCAGCGTGTCACCAGGCCCCTTTAACACCAGCCCTGGGCTCCGGCCTGAGTCATCACGCCATAATCCCAGGGGCTAGGCCCGCAGCTGCTGATAAAGCCCTCAGCCTGCAATGAGCCCCCTGGCCTCAGGGGCTTCGTCAGTCTTGCTCTACAGTTATTAAAAACCAGAGCTGCGGCCCTGGGTAAAGTGAACGGGCATTTGCCTCACAGGGAAAAATTCAGGGGACACCAAAACCACTCAGTAACCAAGATAAATGAGTTTATAGCGATCATTTTTAAGAAACAAGACCTCATGGGGAAAAAAAATTAATGATGAACAAAATACCAATCTTTTAAATAAAGACAGGCTTGGTGTTAACTGCTTTTACCTTTTGAAAAGGCGCAGGGCCCCAGAGTGGTGGGCTGTTGCTGACCCAAAGCAAGCACCTTGCTCGCCTCACCCTTAAAGACAACACCCGTTAAGGACAACAGCAGCTGCGGCCAGGAAGTGGAGAGAACAATGACCTCCCGACATCTGTCCCCAGCAGCTCGCTTGTCGCCTCCTCTCTCCCTGTCAGATGGGCTCTGTTATTGTCCTCATTCTACAGACGGGGAAACTGGGGTCCTGACCTTGCCCGAGGTCACCCAATTCACCCACCAGGGGCTCAACGTCAGGTACAGCTTGTCAGCTTGGTCACGTGGCGGCAAACCAGGGTCAGGGATTCTGGGGGTCTCTCCTGCGCCTTGGCCCAGAAAGCCAGCCCCTGAAGACAGGAAAACTCCTGGGACCTTGGGGGTGGGGTGCGGGAAAGGGTGGGGCGAGGGCCCACCCGCAAGTGGGGGGCACCTCAGACCACACAGCTTGCTGGGAGGAAGGTGGGCTTGACAGGGCTTGGCGGCTAGGTTTCCAAAGACTCCCGGACCCCTCCCCACCCCAGCCAAGCAGCCCAGCATGGCGGGCCCGGGGTCTGCCCTGCACTCACACCCACGTGAAGGAGCCCATCTGCTCACCTGCACTCACGGGGCGGGGCTGCAGGAAGAACTGTCCTCTCAGAGAATGCAGGGCCCGGCGGAAAATTCCCTCTGGGCAAATATTTTACCCCCAACAGAGTAAAATCCCAGACTTGCCCAGCTGGGCTCAGCTCGCCTCCAGGAGCCCAGGGAGTGAAGTGCCTGGCACGATCTTTTCGGCTCCTCTGCAGGTCTGGGGACTATGGCCTGACCGCCCGCCAGGTGTGGCTGGATCCACGCCAGGCCACGGGACAGCCGGGAGCGAGGCCAGGTCAGGGGGCCGAGCACCATGACACCCCCTTCCTCTGTGAACCCAGACTGGGGCCACGGGGCACACCCCACATGAACACCCCTCCCCAGACCCACCAGAGCCTCCTGACAGGAGCCAGGCGCCTCCCAGGCCAGCATCCTACGTCAGAAAGGCCACGGCACCCGCAGCCTCAAAGTTTCTTTAGCTCTGAGAAAAGCTGATGACGGGGTAATTTTCTGGGGAGTTCGGGGTCACAAGGGAGGGGAGGCCAGGGTATACACGTGGACCCGTGTGCACACGTGAGAACACACGGCAGCCAGAGCGATTTTGCCAAACCACAAGTTCAATCACGTAACCGCTTCCCACTGTGCAGGAAACACAGACCCAGATCCTTCCTGGAAGGGCTGTGAGAGGCTCGCTGGGACCCACTCCCCCGCTACTGGACTTCCGGTCCTGCTGGGGGCCCGCACACCCCAGCCGCACGTGTAACTGCAGGGTGCTCTCGCCGACTGCCCCGACAAGGTCAGTTGTCTTGTTATCTGCTCTCTTAGGGACCATGTCCTTCATTCCCAGTATCTCCCGCAACTGCAGTATTATTGTCCACTTGAGCCAGTATTTGATGGAAGCCCATCACCCCTCGGACCACAAGCCCCATGAGTGCAGAAGCCACAGCTCTTCCACCAAGTGAATGTCTACCTGGCACCCAGGATGGAATCTGAATACACAGGGTGGTCAAGTATACCCTTGGTGGATGAGTGACAAGTGATGGATAAATGGACACACACATACACACTGTTTCCTTTCATTCTCTCTTTTCTCTCTCACCGTCCTGAGATAAAAAGCTCCCCACCTCTCCCACCACAGCCCCCCCTCCATATCCTGATGAGCCCTCCTGGGCCCCGGAACCCGGGGAGGGAACACCTGCTTCCTGCCAGTGTCCTGGAGCAGCTGGGAGGAGACTAAGCGAGACCAACCCTCAGAGCGCGGCCCGAGGGAAGCTTGTCTAGGCTCTGGTTCTGTGGGAAGCCTGGAAATGGAAGGGACACCCTGGCCCCAAACCCTCAACCCCTCTCCCTTCCTCTGTGAAGTCTCCACCTCCCTCCCTCCCGCTGCGTGGGGGGAGAGGGAGTGTCTGTGTCCCTGTGTCCCCAGGCCCTGCCACCTCCGAGGCTGTAGCCCAGGCTCCCCGCTCTGGCCCCAAGAGCCCCAGGGACAGAACCATCGGCTCCCACACTCCACCCCCCATCCTGGCTGGCTGGCCCTTAAAGCTGGGCCTCAGCCCGGGAGCACAGTGCCTGCCAGGGAAGGCGTGGTTCTGGCTGTGTGGGCAGCCAGTTTCCAGAAGCCTGGCCCCGCTGGGAGGGCCCTGACCGCCGAGCTGGGAAACTCAGGTGCCCAGGCCCTGCGGCCATCAGTGGAGGGCCGGAGCGGCATTGCGGCCTCCACAGCATCCTTGAGGCGGGGAAGGCGGGCCAGAGCCAGGGTGGACCTGCTGCAGGGCAGGCAGCACCAGGGCTGTCCATGCCCATGCAACTGTGTGCATGCATGTGGGTGCATGTGTGCGTGCATGTGTGCCAGCAACACACCTCTAAACATCTGTGTGTTGGGTTAAAGTTATGAGAGGGAGTTTAGATTGATGCTTTATTTTCCAAACTTTTTATACTCCTGTGTAACTTGTAATGTAAAAAACCATTTTTTTCCACAAGGAATTCATTGTAGAAAATTTGAGAAATGCAGAGAAGCAAAAAGAATGAGACCAAAAATCTAAGGAATCCCAACATGTACATTCAGAGCTATTTTCTGTTCCTCTCAAAAATATTCATGTATACATACCTTTTTAAAATAAAATCGAGTCATGATAAACATCCTATAAAAATTTTAATAGTATCAGGTGAACCAGTAGCATGAGAGGCCACAGCCCCGCAGCACCACTCCTTTAAGGGTCTCTCCAGTCCGCTCTCCACCCACCCCGACCCCCATCACACACTCACACTCTCACATACCACTCATGCATTCACTCACACACCCACACATGCACACCCACGTGCACTCACACAAACATACACACGCTCACATACACCCCCACACTCACACGTAATCTCACTACACTCACACACATATACACTCGCCCATAAGCGTGTGCACACGTGCATGCGTGCGCACACACACACACACACACACACTCATTCCATCATCCTGGCAACTCCGAGGCAGGAGGAGTCCTCCTGTGCCAGACCAGAGAGGAAAACCAAGGCCCCGGGAAAAGCAGCTCCAGATGTGCACGGAGCCTACAGCTGGGCGGCCTGCGGCCCGGGAGGCCTTCAGGGTGGGCCTGGGGAGGCGCGGCGGGGTCCTCACTCTGGCCCAGAGCCCCGCCTCCTCTTGCCTACCCTCTGGGAGCTCGGGGCAGCGGGAGACACCCCTCACCACGTGGGTGGGGGCACGGTGGGGGCAGCTGAGACCCAGACCTGCCGCAGGCAGATTCCTCAGGGCTGGCGGAGAAGGATGGGCAGTCAGGACCGGACAAGGAAGATGCTGCTCTCCCCACGCCCACCTCCCGCCGGGGCCGCCCCCGAGCCTCGGCGGAGCTCCGGGGGAGGGAAAGGCTGGGGCAAGGGCCCAGTGTTCTGCCTCCACGCCAGCTGGGAACGCTGGGAATCTCCTTCCACCCCCACCTTCTTCCATTTCCAATGGTCTGCCTGAGGCCCCAGCCCACCAGCAGCCCCAGGCTGGAAGGTCTTGCACTGGGATGCCCCCAGGAAGAGAGTCTCTTTCAGAGGCCGTGGGGGGTGCGGGTCATACTTACAAAGAAGAGCAAGTTGAAGAGGAAGAGGAAGTACTTGGTGACTTTGATGCAAGCTGACCCCATCCTGTTGGTCCTGGAGCTTCCTGGGGACAGGAGAGAAGGCAGGTTGGTCAGTGCTGGGCAGGACCTGGGCTGGGGGGAGGAGAGGGAACAGATGCTGACAGACACCCCAGAGCCACTGACCCTCAATCACCCCCGCTCACCCTCACCACCTCACAAGGTAGGTGCTGACGACGTCAGGTCCTATTACAGGGGACCCCGAAGCCGAGAGGTTAGATGACCGACCCAAAGCCACGCTGCGGTGGGGTAAGGGTGTGGGTGGCAGTTAGGGTCTGGCTTAGCCACTCCACCAGGGCCAGGGCCTACAGGAAAGTTATGAATGATAACCCTCAGGCTCCCTGAGGTCAGAAAACCAGGAATGACTAACGGCCAGCCTTCAGGCCCCATGGGGCCAAGGGAGCCAGCAATGGCAGCTGGGGCTGAGACAGCTGGCCTGGGACAGCTGCAGGGGCCGAGCTGGCCTGGGGGTGGGGAAGTAGGCAGCAGACCCTGTTCCCACTGCCCCGTGGAGGGTGGGGAGAAGCAGGCCACGGAGCAGAGGGAACAGGGGGCCCGAGGCATGCGCATCATCCCTTCTTCCTCCTGCAAGGGTGAAAGGTTATCCTGAGCCTTGTGACTCCCCCGTCCACGTGGAGGTCCCCTCACCCTGGTCTAATCTATCATTGTTGCCAAATGGGAGCTCAGCTTCAATTTTCTACACCTCCAGGGACCGGGGTAGAGGAGTTAAGTGGGGAGATTCAAGCACAACATGGAACAAACCCATCCGAGGAAGGAAAAGATGACCTGGGTGATAGTGAGTGTCCTATCCCAAGTGGCATGCAAGCAACATCCAAATAACAACTTACGGGAATTCAAGTGCTGCAAGGGGAGATTAGACTGAACGCTCCTCCAGGCTACCAGGGCCCAAGGCCTGGGTCTGAGAAATGTGGGAACAACAGTGACTCAGAGCCAGGGAAGTCCAGCCTCGGTAACTCCACCTGGGGCCTCCCCCAGGCCCAGAGGGGGAGAAAACAAGGGTTCCCCTCGTGTCAAGAGATCCAGAGATCTGAGATCCTGAAGCCAGGCCTGGCCCCAGGAAGGCCTGCTGGGGGTGTTCCCCATGAATGAGAGCTATTGTTTTCTCTCTCCCCTCCCAGGGCAGCGCCTGACAACCACAGGCACTTAGCAAACTGGCACAGAGCAAAACAGCAGGAGAAGAAAGAGCCTCTCGCCGAAGGAGGCGCGCTTCTCTTGCCCACCACGGCCCTGCTTCAATTTCCTGCCTGTGAAGGCAGAGGGGCAGCCCCAGGCTCAGCCCCAAGCCGCCTGTGGCTAAGTCATCCCTTCCCGAGAAGAACCCCACCACTTCGGGGAGTGGCGATGCTGGCTGCATTCTTGTGAAACTGGAGAAGTGTGGAAGTGGTCAGACCTTTGGCAATCGATGCCAGCCGGCACTGTTCAACAGGGAAAGGAGTTTCTGCCCTTTCTGGCTTCACATCCTCCGTTCAGGCCGGGTCTCCAGGGCAGCCTTGCAGGGTTGCAGGTGATCAGAAAGGGGCGATTTTTAGACACGGGTAACCACCTGGCCAGGGCTTCCCCAGTGGCTCAGCAGTAAAGAATCTACCTGCCAATGCAGGAGACTCGGGTTCGATCCCTGGGTCGGGAAGATCCCTTTGGAGAAGGAAAGGGCAATCTACTGCAGTATTCTTGCCCTGGAAATTCCATGAACAGTCCATAGGGCCGCCGAATAGTCAGACATGGCTGAGTGACTAAACAAAAACCACCCCCTGGCCTCCCCCATGCACAGAACAGACTCCGGGCAGCTGTCGGTGTGTGTCATCCCTTTAGTCCTCATGACCTGCCCAGAAGGTGTGGTGGGTCTTCCTCTCCAGCGGGGGCCGGGGGCAGGGGGAGGCAAGTGAAGCAACTCGTCCGAGTCACAGAGATCCTTAAGCAGTGGTATGGTATTTAAGCCATAGAACTACCATATTCCACTCTATTTGATGAGCATGGTATTGCTTTTTATTGATTTTTATAAGGTGGCACTAGTGGTAAAGAAGGGCTTCCCTGATAGCTCAGTTGGTAAAGAATCTGCCTGCAATGCCGGAGACCCTGGTTCAATTCCTCCATTAGTAAGATCCACTGGAGAAGGGAAAGGCTACCCACTCCAGTATTCTTGGGCTTTCCTGGGGGCTCAACTGGTAAAGAATCCCCCTGCAATATGGGAGACCTGGGTTTGATCCCTGGATTGGGAAGATCCCCTGGAGAAGGGAAAGGCTACCCACTCTAGTAACTGGCCTGGAGAATTCCATGGACTGTATAGTCCATGGGGTCACAAAGAGTCGGACAGACTGAGCGACTTTCACTTTCACTTTTGGTCTTCCCTGTAGCTCAAGTGGTAGTTTGCCTGCAACTCAGGAGACCCAGGTTCAGTCCCTGGGTCGGGAAGATCCTCTGGAGAAGGAAATGGCAAGCCACTCCAGTGTTCTTGCCTAGAGAATCCCATGGACAGAGGAGACTGGTGGGCTACAGTCCATGGGGTTGCAAAGAGTTGGACACGACTGAGCAACTAACACTAGTGGTAAAGAACCCACCTGCCAATGCCAGAGACGTAAGAGATGCAGGTTTGATCCTGCAGTTGGGAAGAGCCCCTGGAGGAGGGCATGGCAAGCCACTCCAGTATTCTTGACTGGAGAATCCCATGGACAGAGGAGCCTGGTGGGCTACGGTCCATGGGGTTGCAGAGTCGGACACAACTGAAGCGACTGAGCACACACGATAGCTCCAGACCCAAGGACCGTGAAGTGCTGCCTCCCAGGAGTGGCCCTGACTGCAGAAAGGGGTCTCTGGGAATGGCTGGGGCTTCACTAAGTAGGTGGTGAGCACCAAGACCACTGCTCAAAGGAGCTCTGGTTTGCAGGCAAGAAGGAGGCAGGCAGAGGCTACTCGGCGGGGATTCCCTGATACCACAGGCAACCTCGCTGGTCTCTCTTCACGCACTCAAATTATACTAGGGGTTCAGCAAAGTAAGCCCTTCAGCATCCTATGAGCAAACTGGAGCTCAGAGGGGTGAAGTAGCTTGCCCAAGGTCATGGGTAAATGGACCAGCAAGGACAGAACCCAGGCCTCCTGGCCCCTAAGGCCACCTCCTCCTCTCCAGGAGGCAGCTGGATGGATTCAGATGCTTGAACAGGCAGCTGCATGACTGACAGGTAGGCTGGCCAATCAGGGAAAGCCCAAAGACTACCTGAGACTCATCTGAGGGAAGAGAAGGGGCTGAGAATTAGAGTCTGGGGTGATGGGTGGTTCCTGGACCTGTCGGCCGAGATCCAGGATACAGAGTGTTTCTGCCCCGCGAATGCTGGCACTACCCCTTAGAGAAACAGGGAGCAGGAGATGAACACGTCGTCCATGCTGGGCAGAAGATGGGCGGTCCCACGAAGGGCTGGAAGTCAGCTCAGGCTGGGGACATGCCCAGGTTGCCCCTGATACACAGCGATATCAACCTCAGTGAGACCACAACGACCACCAAGCCCCGAGGACACCCCAAAGTCGGAATCCGAGGGCCTGGGGTCACACTCTAGGGTCCTGAACCTCAGTCTCTTTATCCAAAAGGTAAGAATAAGGGTTGGCGTAAGGCAGGGAGTGGCCAGTTAGGGCCTGTGGATCAAATCCAACCCACCCTCTAGATGCTGTCGAGGTCACAAGCTAAGAACAGATTTTACATTTTCACGTAGTTAGGAAAGTAGAAAAGTCTCTCAGTCGTGTCTGACTCTTTGTGACCCCTGGAAGTCTCCAAGCCAGAATACTGAAGTGGGTAGCCTTTCCCTTCTCCAGGGGATCTCCCCAACCCAGGGGTCAAACCCGGGTCTCCCACATTGCAGGGGGATTCTTTACCAGCTGGGCCACAAGGGAAGCCCCAAATCATATCTTCCCTGACCAGGAACCATTTTAAGTAGGTGGGAAGAAATAAAAAGAATATCTTGTAACGGACGAAATTCAAATAAATAAAGTTGTCCTGGGACCCAGCTATGCCCACCCTTTTATGTATTTGCCCATGGTAGCTATCACAAGCAATGGCAAAGTGGACTGGTTGCAACAGAGACCACTGGCCTGCAAAGCCTGAAACATTCCCTGCCTGGCCTTTTATGAAAGTCTGCAGGCTCCTGGTGCAGGGGAGCAGATGGTACACACACAAGTGTCTGGAAGAGATGGCAAGAACCAGGACTGCTGATAGCTTGGGATCTTGGCGGAGAGCGAGCTGGGTGGCAGAAATTGAATAATCAGGAAGGAGAAGATGCAGGATCCCTAGAGAAGGGTTCAAACCCTCGTTCTGCCAATGCATGGTCAGAGAAGGGACTCCCGGGGTCTCGTTGCCCAGTGGAAGCCCGTGTTATAAAGAAAAGTGAGGTCAGTGCCTGGTACAGTCAGGGCTGGATGAGCTGGAGCTGGGGAAGCGTCTTCATCAGCACTTTCCCGAGAAGCGATGGGTGAGCGTTTCACTTGCACATGAAATTAGACGAAGAGGGAGGCTCTCGATGTTAGGCTTTCCTGTATACACTTTCTGTAAACACAAGAAGGTCTGCCCATGCTTTCCTATGAGGACATCTTGACAGTCACAAAACAAGGGAAGGAGATGCAAGCCCATCTCTTTTGGAAAATTCCAGGGAACAGTCACAGATAGCTCTATGAGCAGCAGGAAGGAGCTGCTGACTTCATGGAATACTTTAGAGTAGGTAAACGGACCGTTTCTAAGCAACTTCGATTTAAATTGACCAAACATATAAATTCTATGCCAAATCAATTTGTACAATGAAATTACTATACTACTGGTATTTTACTAACTCCGGCTCATCCTTCAACACTCACTTCAGACATCTACCTCCTCCAGGAAACCCACTCTGACCATCCTTGTCACCACCGTCACCGCCACCCACTCCCCACTAACACACAGGCTGGCTGGGAGCTCTCCCCCTCTGCTTCTTTCCAGCGGCACTGGCTTCTACAGCAGTTCCCACAACAGG